CAGCAGGAAGCGGAGCAGAGAGCTGCCCAAGCTAATCAGTCAGGAAATGAGGGAAAGAAGGACTGGGAGAAGAAAGGGATGTGGGGGACCTCAGCCACGGACCTGGTTGGGCTACAGCAGTGGAGGTTTGAAAAATGGCACTGATATTTAGGGGGTGGTTGTGTTCAGGCCCGTAAAGCCCTTTAAAAACAAGGCACTGTGCAGCTCTGTTATTTTTTTTTTCCCATTTATCAACTTAACCTTGTTCCTACTTGTAGGACAAATAAATCATTTCTGCACAAACAAGTTGGAGAACGGGAACCCGAAGGGGGTGGTACATCAGCTCAGGGACTCGTGGTTAAGAAGTCCCATAGATTTTGATAACAACTGGAAATTGTTCAGTGGATTAGCATCTAAAGCCAGTTTGCCCTCTAGTAATGACAAGCCTGAGCCGCAGTGCGCGGATCCAAACTTCCCCTTAGGGCCGTTGTTGTTTGCACTGCAGTCTTGGGGAGAGTCTCCAGCTGTGAGCCAGAGACTCCTCTGAGCTCAGGGGTGTCCAAACACAGAGCAATTGGATGGACGAGGGTCCTCTCAGTGTTTTCTCCTGGCTCTGTTTGCATCCCCCTCTGCCCAGGCCTGTGGTCACTTTCCGAAGCCATGAAACATCCTGGTGACACAGGGCAGACTCCGAAATAGCTGCAGTTGTGTCCTGCTTATAGATGCAATGGCCCCTTGCTATTACCTGGAGATTAGGAGGCAAAAATCTCCTGTGGATCTGGTCCCAAGAGGTCTCCAGCGTGAGCTGACTCTGGTGGGAAAGGCACGTGCCTTTAGCGAGCTTGTGGGGATGGTTTGTTGCCATTCCTAAGCCAAAAAGTAAGTATTTTGCAAAGCAAGGTCTACATTTGTTTCCATGTTTGTCTTCAGGAAGAGCTGGCCCCAGTGCAGAAGACCAGATCAAGGCCTGGCTTCTCCCTGGGCTCTGTTTCAGCCATCAGGGGAAATGCCACAAATGCAGCTCATAATCAGCTACACTTAGGGGCTATGCCCTGTAAATTCTTCACAGCCCTGAGTCACGGCCAGTTTAAGCTACGAGTCAGTTCGAAACTCTCCATTGAGTTGGATGGGCTTTCGCCCAGACCCTGCACAAGTCAACAGAGCGATTAGCAAAGCTGCAACTCAAGAGGTCTCCATGGAGAT